TGCTGACCTGAGTGCTGCTGCTTCTGCCAGGCAAAGGGAGTGAAAACCTCTGAGATTTGTAAGTCAGAGTATTTAGGTCACACGTGGATTAGAGTGTGATCAGATTGGCTTTAATGTAGAGCTACTCTGAATACCTATAGATCATATAGCACACTGAGGCATCAATGCTTCCAACAGCTTTTAGCAAGGTGATGGGGTGAGCCCAGTGAAAGGCTCTCCCTCCGGCGGCACCACGGTGCTTTGTACCGGCTGCCGGCGGCACAGTGGGTTACGGGTGTTACTCAGCCGTGTGTGATCCCAGCTGCTGCGCTGAGAGCGGCGGGGCCGGGAGCACGGCATCCCTGTGCCACCCTCGTCCCTGCGCAGGCACAGATGTCACGACGCGGGAGGATGTGCAGGGCAGAAGGGTCTTCCCACACTCTCTCTGTTGCCTCTTCTGTTCTTCTCAGAGACCTAACAAGCTCGTTTCATTTAAGAGCACATCTGCGCAGCTCTCAACTGGTTACAGATGTGTTCAATGTGGTGTTTTCTGCCCCTGCAAGCCTGATCTCTTGTCACAGTGCTGAGTGGCACTGCCCAGCCCTGCAGGGACCAGGACCTGAGAGCAGGAGCACAGCTGCTCCTTGTCCTGCTCAGCTCTGCCAAGCTGAGGCCTGTCGCCAGCATGATTCGTCCATCACCATTGGGAAAGATTGTGGGACAGCCCAGACCCCGAACACGATCGGGACATTGCTGCCAGGTGGGTCTGTGTGTCCGGCACGACCACTGCTCTGTCCCTCGATGGCCGGCTGGCCGGCTCTAGCGCAGGGCTGGAAAGCCACAGGTGACATGGGAGAGTGTTTCTCTGACAGATGTGATCACCTTTGCCATCCTCAGCTGGATGAATGTGCCTACAGGTGGTTAAGCTGTGCAGCATCATGCTGCTGAAGACCCCGTGGCGGTGTGTCCTCCCGACCTGGTCCATAGGCAGGATGTCCCCTTGCCTTTAAACAAAGACCCAGAGTGTTTCTGGCTTGCCGTCCCACCAGGCTCACCCATGGATAAAAGCTCAGGGTAAGAGGAAGAAGAAGGTTCTCAAAGATGCTGCAAGCTGTGATTCCTTAGACCAGGGGCTGGCCCGAGACGGTGCCTTTCCCGCAGAGCTCTCATCTTCTCCCTCTCCGGTTCCACACCATGTCAAACCCACACCCCAGGAGAGGAGGCAAAAGATAACCCTCAGATGTGTTTCCTGGCTAACCAAATCACTGAAGCTGTGGGGTTCTCAGCCCACGTCTGAGTTCTTGCAACATTTCTCCACTATCAGATGCTTTCCATTAGCTGAACAGAGCAGGGCTGTCACCTGCAAGCAGCCAGCCAGGGCATTGCTCCGGGGCAGTGGATCCCGTCCAGATACCACCTGTGGGTATGGGCTTGTGCAGAGGATGCTCCGTCTCTCTCGCTGGCTCCCTCCGACACGGGCAGCGCTACCCGTGCCCACCGCAATGCCTGGTGGCGTGAAGCCACAGGAACATCCAGCTTCCAAAATGCTCCGGGCTTTCAATTAGCTGCACCTCCGCAAGGATATTGCTCAGCTCAATGTATCTAAAATCTCCCATGATGATAGATCGTGATTTGACAGGAGAAGCACAGCTGGCAGAGAGAAGACATCTCTTCATTTCCTGTAACTTCCCAAGCGCTTCTTAATAACACCAGTGCTCATAAAGGTCTGTGGTTCTTGCAATGACGCGGAGAAATAATCTCCCCGGCTGACGCTGATGTGTTGCTACCTCGGGGTAAGGAGGCAGCAGCTGTGTTTCAGCGCACAGGACATTGCACAACCGCTGAGGATGGGAAGAGCTGATGTATGCTGGATCCAACTGAAAGAGGAATTGTGGGTCAGCAGAATATTGTTGTCAGCGCTGGGATGTGGCCAAGTTGCTATGGGGACACTTGTGCCTTTAGGTTTTTGATCGTGCAAGGAATCGGGATGGTCTTTCGCCTGATTTCCCTGAGAAATCATGTTTCTGTGATCCTCTCTTCCAGCCGCCAGTCCCACTCCCCCCTCCGATCACATCTCAGCCCAGTGGCAACCTCCAACCACATCTAAGAGAAGGGTGGAGGGCTCCGAGACATGAAGCACCTACAACAAGCCTGTGCAACGCCTGGCCTGAGCGCCACATGCATCTCCGGCAGGTATTTGTTTGGTGCCGGCAGCTGCCAGGCAGCGTGTTGCGGCTCAGCCGGCAGCGGAGGGGACACTCACCTGTGTAGCACCGGATTAGCTGGCACCCACTGCCACCTGCAGCTGCGCAAAGGGACAATGCCGGCGTGGATGTGATGGGGCTCTTGCTGGAGCGGGGACCGACCCACGGAGCTGTGCTTTGCCCAGGGCACCTGGGCTTAGCAGACAACATCCAAATACCCATCTTTAAAATCAGGTCAAGAGCCCAAGCCTGCCTACGTGGGGGGTTGGAGGATGAATGCTTCAAGGGCTGGAAGGGTGTTTTCGGTTCCCAGGCCCTGGGAACTGAGTCGGGTGGGTCTGGTGGACCCAGGGATGAAATCTGGGGGAAAGACCTCCCACTAGCCCAGTGAGCCGGCAGGTTGGGGCCAAGAGCCGGAACAGGAGGAAACCCAGCTGCACAACCAGCTCCAGCATCTGCCTCCCCTTGTCCCTGTGGCAGGGGGAGGTGGGGGGCCAGCCATAGCCTCTCTGGGGAGAGGGGGAATTGCAGAGAGGAAAGGAAAATTCATCCCCAGAACTAACCTGTGCTGAAAATAATCAGTGACTAATTTTATGTCTTTATGATTGCCTTTTAACTGCGAGTTATTAAAGACGGGGAGAAAGAAGATTATGTCCTGGTGGGAGGATAAGTGAGCGTTGCCATAGAAGCGAGGGGATGCTGCAGCACAGCTTAGTCCGTCTGGACCACAAACCACAAAGCCACAGCAGAAGCTTGAGGGTGGCCGGCGCACTGTGGACAGAGACGCACCCGTGTGACTCCAAGGCGAGCTGACAGCCTGGGAAGTCAGAGAAGAGAGATTTGTGTTATCAAGCCCAAAGCCAGAGAGTCAATATTTAGCCTGGAACACGGAGCGCAGCCTGTGTGCAGCCGGGCCCCCGTCCATCACGCTGCTTGATTGCCCTCCCGAGCTTTTCCACCCGCAGCCTTCTCTCCGCCTGGTCTCACAGCCGGATCGTGTTTCCCCTTCGCTGAGCTAACCCTGTCCCAGAAACACTGTTATTAGTCTCAGGGCAAGGGTGAAGCCGAGATTTGAGGGGGGTTTCAAGGGATTAGGAAGGAATTTGCCTCTGGGAATCTCTTTCCTCCACCTGCCTGGGATAAATTGTCCGATGGAGATGGAGGCTTTGCAGCTCGGCAGGGAACTGCTCAGAGCTAAACATGTGGAGGCAAAAACGCTCCTGGTCCCTCCCTGCTGCAGGAACTGGGTGCTGAAAGGTCCTGGAAAGGGGGTGAGGAGAGCTCTCTGTCCTGTGGCCCCACGCAAGGACCAAGTGGGAAGATGTTTTGCCTGAGCTCTGTGTATGCGAATGTTGCCTGTTCAACCCCTGGGTACTTTCCTGGGAGGACCAGTTCGCCCCTGGGAGGCAGGAGCAAGCTTATGAACCTGCAAGCCCCATGGGAAACACGATTCACTGGGAGAAGAAGGGATTTTTATTTGGCCTGTTTATGATTTTCTGCTTTCATTTTGCTATAAAGCAAACATGCATTGCCAGTTAACAGCCCTGACCTTACTGGAGCAGGAATAAAACTGAGAAAACTACCCTCGGTGTGTGTGCCCGCAGCCCTGGCACAGCATGGGGGGCTGTGTTTACAGCTCCATCCCTTTCTCCATCTGCGTACAGCTTCTGCGGCCTGTTCTTTATACCGCAGCAGGGTTCACGGCGTGCTCGGTCCTGCCTCTGCCAAAGAGGGGAAGTCCCTGCCTGGAAAGCAGATGGCTACTCCTACGTTCATTTGCTGCATGGTCCTAAAGCAGGACTCCAGTGCCCAGTTTATCATAGAATCATGCAATGGTTTAGGTTGGAAGGCACCTTGAAGATCATCCAGTTCCACCCCCCTGCAGGTTGGAGGAGGAGGAGGCAGGGACACCTCCCACCAGCTCCAAGCCCCGTCCAACCTGGCCTTGAACACCTCCAGGGATGGGGCAGCCACAGCTTCTCCGGGCAACCTGCCCCAGGGGCTCACCGCCCGCACAGGCAACAATTTCTCCCTGATATCTCACCTAAATCTGCCCTCTTTCAGTGTAAAACCACTCCCCCTCGTCCCACGGCTCCCCTCCCTGATCCAGAGTCCCTCCCCAGCTCTCCTGGAGCCCCTTTAGGCACTGGAAGGGGCTCTCAGGTCTCCCCTTTTTCGCCTTCTCTTCTCCAGGCTGAACCCCCCCAACTCTCCCAGCCTCTCCTCCCAGCAGAGGGGCTCCAGCCCTCCCAGCATCTCCGGGGCCTCCTCTGGCCCCACTCCAGCAGGTCCATGTCCTTCTGATGTTGGGGACTCCAGAGCTGGATGCAGTACTCCAGATGGGGTCTCACGAGAGTGGAGCAGAGGGGCAGAATCCCCTCCCTCGCCCTGCGGGCCACACTTCTGATGCAGCCCAGCGTACAGTTGGTCTTCTGGGCTGTGATCACACATTGCCAGCTCCTCCTTTAGATCTCCTTTAGATCTTGCAATCGAAGACCTTTCACACCTCTGTTAAAGAAAAATGTCAATAATGCAGACGTGAAACCTCATAGTTTCAGTGTTTTGGTTTTTTTTTAAAACCTGAAGCCTTTCAGAAGTGGCTCTCCGTAAGAGACATGTCCTCAAAGCAGGATGCCTCCAAAATATGCCGGGCTGGTACCAGCCACGTCTGCACCACATCTCCTGGGACAGGCGCTTCTGCCGGAGACTGTAGCTGCCCGTACTGAGCTGGGGGCTCCGTGTAACCTTGCACACGCAGGGCCAGAGCCCGATGGTCCTTTTCAGCTCCCCGGATGAGAGATGCTTCATCTTCTCACTACCTCCTGTGAGTGGGAAGCTGCGGTGAGGGCCACATTACTCCCTGCTTCCCCAAGAAGTGCCTGTGTCAGGGCATCTGGGGACCTGGCTGCAGGAACAGGTACCATGGGGAAATCGTAGGGGGTTGAAGAGCAAAGGACCTGCTCTAAACACTGGCAAAAAAGCGATTTTCACTGGGGTTGTTCCCAGGTGGTCGCTCCTCCTCTCTCCTGCAGCACCTTCTTAACCGTGGCTGATCTGATCTGCCTCTCTGCATCCCCGGCACCCGTGTCCGTCCCACAGCTGGCTCAGAGACCCTGAGTTGGGGACCAAACGACCCCTTCTCCCCTCTTCGTGCTTGCCGGGGGGGGCTCACAGAGGCACAAACCACGTCCCAGGCGCCCTTGAGAGCCTCATCCCCCTGCGCCCGCCTTGCTAAGCGGCAGCCCCTGCTTTCGATGCCTGGGGCTAAACTGCCTTTTCTGGGGCTGAAGCGCGGGTGCTCCGGCTCCCGGTGATTGGGTGCTATTTTGCTCCGGCACAGTTCGGCAGCTGTTGCTGTATATTACCCCGAAGAGCCGGAGCCAGCTGGGGGGCTGGAGGCAAGGCGGCGGTGGTCGAGCCCCAGGTATGACTTTCTGTGGCTTTTAACCCTTTCAGCTGGATGTGGGGCAGCCCATGGGCACAGCCCGCAAGGCAGCGATCGGCACAGTGCCGGCCAGCGGCAGATTGGGGGCCATGGGGCCCGTCCCGGCTCTGCCATGCGAGCGCGCCCAGGGAGAGCAGGGCAGGCGAGGGGACTATTTTTGGAAGTTTCTTTGATGTGACTCAGTGGTAGAGGCAACCTCGGGAGCTCGTGCAGGAAAAGTCCCAGCGACAGCAGAGCGGAACCAATTATTCATGGGGTGTCTGTAGTTTTGTGCATTTAAGAGAAGATCTGGCGTGCGGAGTGTGCATCCGACGGAGTGGGAGCATAGGCAGCGCCGGGGAGAGGGTGGACCTGGCGAGCAGTTGTATGGGAGGGCTCCTGGGCAGGAGTCAGTGCGAGCCGAGGGCTGGAGCTGGGTTCTGGGGCTGTGGGTCACCAGCCCTGCCATGGGCAAGCTGTCCCTGGCATCGGTGGCCGACCCTGGCATCGGTGGTCATCCCTTCCCTGCTTGGCCTGGGCAGTGGCTGTTTGCTTGGTACATCGGTGTTGGAGCTGGTCCGATAGGAACCAACCCCAGGAAATGTGGTCCTGCGGGTGACGTGACCCATGCTGGTTGGGGATGAGGATCCTGCGCAGGCTGTAGAGCCTCGACATGCATCTACCTCCCAGTGGAGCACAGACCCCATCTCCTGTCCGGAAGGGAACAAACCGGTCAGCTCTGGGACCAAAGTAATGCCTGTGGGGTGCTCGGTGCAGGAGGAGGATGGCTGCCTGCCCGGCCGCGGCGCGGCTGTCGTGGAGCCCTGCAGCCGTTGCGGCAAAACCTGGAAACACGCCCGGGGGCTGGAGGTGGTTTGGGCTCCTCCGTCTGGGTGAAGCCCAAGGGATGGAGGTGTGGGAACAGTCTGGCACTCCGTGACTGAGCTCACCCAGGGACCTGGGACCGCAGCGAGGACGTGGCAGGACAGCCACGTGCCATGGGGCACTGCTGCCCACTGACCGCCCGGCGTTTGTTTTATCCCTCTCAGTTTAGTGAGAGTTCCTTGAAGTGACATGGCAGCAGGTCCCGGTGAGGTGTTGGAGAAAGACTTGGGATGCCCCGAGGCCACCGACGAGCTGCCCGGGCAGGCGGGGAGCACTCAGAGGCGGCCAAGGAAGGACGGGAGAAAAGGTACCTTGCCCTCACCATGAGCTGGTGGCCAGGAGGTGCTGGCTGTGGCCGTGCCAGTGCCGCTGCCACGATGTTCGAAGCCCTTCAGGAATGGGCTCGGCCCCACAGAGATGGCTCTTTGCAGTGCTGTGAAATCACGGGGCAACCCCGGACATCGAGGGGCACCCGTGCGGCACTGACCCCGCGGGGACATCGGCAATGGGCAGGGCAAAGAGGAAGGGAGGCTCATGCCCTCCTCCATCTTCCTTTGTTCAAAAGAAGTGTGAATAACTGTGTAGCTCAAAAACACGACAAGCACTTAGGGAACAAACTCTTTAAGGAAAACTTCTCCATCTTTGTGGTTTCTTTGGGCTGGGAACCCCTCTAGCCAACGCGAGAGTCCTGGGGCAGCTCCTTCGCTTCGCAGCAGAGAAAGGACCAGACTCACCATCACTAAAACAAAACCGAAGACTATTTTTTTATTTCCTCTTGAAACAAAAGACCTTTCAGGCCGTGGTTCTCCAGCCAAAAGGAGAACCTTATTTATCTCCTCTTATTTATTTGTTTTGCTTCCAATATCGTGTCTTAGATTTCATCCTGGGAAATGGTATTTTTTCTCAGCATGCGTTCTCCAACTGCGGGAAAATAAAGTAAATGTTGCTCAAAGCAGGCAAAAATTCTGGTGGGGGCCTGCAAGGATGTGGCATCCAGATCCCAGCGGAGCAAGAACTGCGCTCAGAGGAGCCGAGAGGGCTGAGGCTGCTTTGTGTTGGGGTGTGTCGGCGCATCCTCACCCCCGTAGCTCACCCCGGAGCCAGGGGTAGAGAAACCCCCCGGGAGCCCGAGGAGCGTGGCACGTTCCCCAGCTCCTCGTTGCGTCGAACCACTGCAAAGCCCTAAGGACCCTCTGGTTTTCTTTCCCACTTCACATCTGGGAAGAGCCCTGAGAGTCCTCCCTGGGCTTTGTGATCCTCTTGGGTGCCTTGAGGTCTTCCTTGAGGTCTTCTTTTAGGTCTGGTGCTCCACGGTACCTGGAGCTTGTCCTGCTGTGTAGGCTACAGCCTGAGCCTCCAGCTCTGCCTCCAGCCTTCCAGCCTCCAGCCACGTGTTTTCAGGGGGTCCGTGCACACCCTGGGCTGCTGGTCACCCCATGCGCCTTGGCACAGAGGTCACCATCCCCCTTGGCTGCAGCTCCCCGGGGATATCCAGAACGGTGACGTTTTGGGGCTCAGCAGCCACAGACCAGCACGGTGCTGCTCTTATACCCCGACCTTGCCTTGCCACCTGCGGCCACAATGGCCAGAGGGCTTTCTGCCCCTCTTCTGAAACCTCTCTCCAGGGGTGACCTGACTGCGCTAACAGGGAAAACGTGGCCATAATGTCCCTGCTCTGTGGGCCGGCGGGTGGCAGCGGGAAGACCACACGCCCCCAGCCCCTGGTGATTCCCACCTAATTCGCCGCCCAATGATCTGTGCTGTGCTTGTCTTTAACAGATGCCGACGCACCGGTGAGCAGTGACGGGGAGAGTGATAGAGCCCATGTAAGTGCGCGGCACCCCGGGGCCGGGGGGGCTGAGCGGGGGTCTGTCCTGCAGCGGCATTCAGCCCAGGAGGGCTCTGCGGGGTGTTGCAGTGTGTCCGTCCCGGGGGAGCCGAAGGCTGCGTCCTTCAGCTGTCGCTGTCACTGACCTGTGCCGGTGGGCAGCTCTCCCCCGTGGCATTGATCCGGTGCCGCTGACATAAGCCAGCAGCCAGCCCGGCCACCAAATCCCTCATCCCCAGCAGCACCGAGCCCAAACCCCAACAGGTCATTCACTCCCTCTCCTCTCTGCACGGTGACCCCACCAGCGAGCGTGCCCTGGATCCAACCCACTGCCCTCGGTGGATGTGTGCACCCGTGCTCATCCGGGCTGGGGGCGAATCCAGCCCTGAGGGCTGCCCTGGGGTGGGCTTGTTCAAGCGCAGCCCGGGGGTCAGCAGCTGCACCCCGGCGCCTGCTCTGCAGCATGGAGCCAGCTAGTGGCTAAATCCATCTTAGCAGCCAAAAACAAAAATCACCACAACGTGTTTTTAAGGCTGTCGATGCAAATACACGCACCGGGGTTAGGTGCTCGAGGAGCCGGTGACGAGCCTGGTTAGCACCGCTCGGGGCCGGCGGCAGCATCGGGTCCGCCCCCGGGGGCCCCGGGGGCGGGA